CCAAACAATAATCATGTAAATGATAATAGAAATAGTCCTTCAACTCAAAACCAAAGTAATGCTACCGTTGACAGAAATAGAATTGTAAAAAAAGCCCCAGTAGTACAAGCAATAGCAACCCAAACTAAAGAAACCTTTGAGCGTTCGATGTTCAGTTACTATCAAAAATCTACTGAATTAAGCAACGATGATACAATATACAAGGTTGGATATTGTTATAAAAATGAAATCGATCTTGAAAAGGGCAAAGCATTTAAATAGCATTCAACTAATGCTGAAGGTGACAATTTGAGAGGCAAGGAAGGTCTTGGATGTTGTAATGTTGAGATGAAAGTTAAGGGCAATGAAACGTATAAACATGGCTATTATTGTAAAAATAGAAGTTGGGTAAACGCTAATATAGCAAATCAAAAAGTTGAATATAAAATCTACAATTATGTTAGCGAGGTTATTAATAATGCCAAAAGTGCCAGTAATGATGAAAGCAAAGTATTTGAGCATTATTTGAGTCCAGTTGATGCAGATAAAGCTGATAATATTAGTCTTGTGAAGGGCGAGATTTAAATATCAGCTATATGTAATCAAAACTTGTCAAGGTGTTATTTGAATCTTGATGAAAATAATGACTCGATATTTGTTGAAGCCCAAAGCTCTGACAATCATATAGACCTTGAGGATTGTACCTGGAATAAAACCAGTGATATAAAGCCTGGTGAAAATGTTGGTCTTGAACATTGAAATAGAAACAGGATTGGGGCAAAAAAGAATAAATATAAAGTATTTAAGGAAAGTGTGAGGTATGCTAAAAAATCAATAATGAAAGATAGGTCCAATAATAGTGATATAAGATCAGAAGTCAGTTTGGAAAAATGGTTCAACAAATTGAAGATGATATGGACGAAGGTATTAAGAGTAATGAACAAAGTAGTATTGTTAAGGATGAACAAAGTAGTATTGTTAAGGAGTGCGAAATGGTTGAAGATAAAAAAAAGAATAAAAGTAACGAAATAAATAAAGTAGTTAGTATGGGCAGTAACGAACCTTCACAAACAAGCAAAAAAGAAGAAGAAAACTTACTCTTGTCAAGTAACCAACTGGCCAGAAAGGTTGAATATACAAGTGAAATGCTCAACAATGTAATCATTAGAGACGAACATAAACTATCTGATAGAAATGAATTATATACAAATCGGTTCAACAATGACAATGCAGAGGAACAATGTAATCCTGGATAGTGCTTCCAAAATGACAAAAATTTGGATAGAGATGGCAAAAAGGTGCTCAAATGGTGTTGAAAAGCTAGAAAAGATCGAGATTATGATGACAAAATAGTAACCTGGATAACTAATTCGATTAAAAGAAACTATTTTATGAATAAAGTGAAATGCATCCCTATTGCTTGGACCATGGAGAAATTTGGCCAAAATTTATGTAGACCCCAACTCAGCAAGATAATCAACTATTTGTTCTAACGATCTTGAATTTAACACAACA